CGAATCAGTTTCGCTCACAAACAAGTATCACAATAGTTATTTGGTGCTGTTGAGGATATCACATCTTCGCCCCACAATGCCCCATAGCACATCGCCGTCGTGTAGTGGGAACATTTTTCGATCCGATGATGACATCATCAGTTCTGGTATTATCATCGGGAGATGTTTCCAATACACGGCAGGAATGTGCTATGCGGTGGAGATGTGAACTCACTGCTGAAATGTTCAAATTAGTAATTAATAAAATACTATTGTATGAGGCATGGCCAAGATGAGCGTGCCACAAACTTGATGCATTAGAACATGTAGTGTGATGTGTGGTTGTTGGATGAAAAGTAGTAGCCGATGATGGAGATGGTGAAGGAACGGCGGATGGAAATGTGAAGTGATATAATCCAACAGAGACTCGACCCACTCTAATCAACTTCTTAAAGGTCAAGTCTTGTAAGGCACAAAATGTAGGGAAAAAAGAGACCACGGTGTTCAAATCATCTATAAGTTTGCTAATGGAAATGGGACTACATTGAAATTCTGGTATGAAGACGGTATTCTTTAGAACTAATGTTTTAAAAATTGACTATTAGAGCATATACTTTGCTCATGCGATTCTCAGCATGCTCGAGTGTATGATATTGAATCGTTCAAGTCCTAGAACTAATAAACCTTTTTGATGAGGGTGAATTTGGCCCTCCAATGATGTTGTGACACATGGTACCTCGGAACAAGTAGGTGACACCCGAAACCACTTAGGCAACAACTTGCCTTAGCCAAGTAGGTGGTGTCTGACTTGGTGACCTGGCGGCCTAGCACAGAAGCGACCTGGCACAGGCGCGACTTGGACCAGGCATGCCCTGGCGGCTTAGCCCTGGCGTGACCTGGCGCAGCCTGGCACAGGCACGACCTGGTGGCCTGGCCCTGGCGCGACCTAGCGACCTGGCCCTAGCGCGACCTGGCGACCGGGCACAGGCACGCCCTGGCGGCCTGGCCCTGGTGTAACCTAGTGTGCCCTGGCACAGGTGCGACCTGGCGGCCTGGCCCTGGCGGGACTTGGCAGCCTAGCACAGGTGCCAACCTGGCGGCCTGGCCCTGGCGG